TTATTTATTTATTTGAGAGAGAGAATGAGACAGAGAGAGAGAACATGAAAGGGGGGAGGATCAGAGGGAGAAGCAGACTCCCCGCCGAGCAGGGACTCCGATGCGGGACTCGATCCCGAGACTCCAGGATCATGACCTGAGCCACCCAGGCGCCCCCTGGCTTAAATAGTCTTACCCTGTTTTCAGGATTGGTTTCTTGGTCTGTAAGCCCAGGTACTCTCATGGTCCACGGCTAGTCCCATCAGCAAATATTTCCCGTGAAGGAAAAACAAAGTTCAAGCTCACCCTACTCATCCTAATTCCTAAGTAACAGAAGAGAGGGTTACTACTGGGTTTAACTTCAGCCAGTCACTTCACATGTTTTAACTGTAAAATGGGGGCAAAACACCTAATTTTTGACACAAAAATTAAGAGCCTTTGGCTGAGCTCCTAGCATGGTCCACAGCTCAACACATTTAACTGAATCTGAAGTCCTACAAACACTGATTAAAGTAGCCCCAGCTGTGGCTTTCTCAAATTCTGCAACTTCTGCTCAAATACCAAGCTGCTGTCTCCCTCACAGCTATACCATCCCACTCTGCAGAGGACGCTGCCCTCTGACTAAAAATTAAGAGTGTACCACCTAGAACGATTTCAGCAATAGAGAAAGCAAGTGGCTACAAATTGCCTAAGTGGACAAATTATCCAAAAGGTGCCCCCAAACAGAAGTCAGAAGTTATTTTTGAATAAAGCTGGGAGTTTGAACCCTGACTCTGTTACTCACTGTATGTATACAGAACCCCGAACAAGTTTCTTCATCTGAGCTCATTTCCTCACACATAAAAAGGGTGTTAACACTTGTGTTGCCCATTTCTCCCGAACGATAGAGGTGACCTGTGAAAGCATATTCAAATTGCAAGCATCAATTTATTACAAGTTCTCTTTCCTAAGAGCTAACTTCTTGCTCCTTCCTCTGGAGGAAAGGTGCTTCACTGCAGGGTCTCTAAACTGAAGCAATCAGAAAGTCTCCATTAAAAGCTCTGGTTTTGGAGCTAGAACAGTTACCAGCAAGGACAAGAAATTAATCAATTCACAGAAGACTTGCAGGCCTGCTTAAGAGAGTGCCCATCAGTCTAACACATCTTATGGCCAATTGTATAGACACAGAAGCATTTTTTCCTGACACAAAGACTATAGTTGGACATACTAACTTTCTAGTTTTATAGAGATTTTAAGTGTGAATGAAGTGGAAAGGCTCTTCTGCTGTCCACTACCAGGCCAACACCTCAGATCTACCCAAACTCTGCCTTTAAAAATACACTTCAGGTAATGCTACATAACCAAGTACAGAAATCACTCCTCTGCTCCTGGCCTCTCACCAGTCCACTGCAGGGATCTTTCCTAACTGCACCTAGTACTGTGTTCTACAGACAGACTCGAGACCAGAACGGCTGTACCTGAAACCTCTACACCTCACACCAGAATGCATCCTGTCCCAAGAGACCTGGAGAAACCAGGCTCCCCCACTCCTGGGAAAAGATTAGAGGCAGCATTCCAAGCCAAACTGTATCCAGCTTTATTAAAGATACTTTTCATAAACAATCATGGTATTTCAGGCAGGACATGGGCAGACGATCGTTAACAGTATACAACAACTTTCAAACTCCCTTCTTCAATGGACTACCAAAATCAGAAAGCCACTATAAAACCCAATGAAGTCTTCATGTGATGCTCTGAACAGGGAAAGTTTAGAGTGAGGGTTGACAGTTCACATTTAGCATGTTGTTTAACAACTTTTCACAAGCCGACCCTGACTTTCAGGAAATGAAATGAAAATGGCAGAATTATCAATCTGAAGATCCACGAGCTAAAAAAGGAACTTTTTTGAGGGACGCCATCTCAGTGGTGACACTGTAAAGTCCAGATTGCCTGACATACTGGGAACCATGTCTTGGGTGTCAGGTTCCAACAGGTCTCTGGGTTTAAGGGAGTCAAGTCTATGTTGAAGGCAGAGAGGGAGAAGACATAAAAAAATGAGTTTTAGTTTTTCCACACCACCGAGGCGTTTGTGCCAAGGCGGCTCATGTGTGTCAACATCAACGAATCCCTCCTGGGAGCCAAGAGGAAGTTTCTCAAAACTAGAAGGGAAAGGTGTTTTTCCCCTTTTTTCAATCTAGCTTCGGAGATACTCTATTAGTGACATATGCCCTTCCCCCAAAACAATGAAGTGTTCTGTGTGCTAACAACATAGCTTAAAAAAAAGTAAAACAAAATTCTGCATTTTTATAAAACTTGATAAAAAATAGTATTTCAAACTGTACAGTCACCAGAAGTACACAGTTATCAAAAATGCACACACTTCACTTGGCATCTCCAGCACCTTCAGCTTTCTGTGCCTAGAAGAAAAAGATTAATACGTTACCACCTATAGATTTGACACTATTTTCATTCACATCCCATCCCTAGCACTACTTTGCTCCCACACCCAAGTTCAGATTTTAGATCCTTCAAGACGCAGTCCTTGTTTTGAGAATAACTTGGTAACTTTCCCTCTAGACCTCACTGTACCATCGGGGAAGGGGGCACATTAGCATTAGAAGGGGAGTTTATCCCCAGCTTGAAAACTCTATGGTGTAGCATGAGCTTGGGACACGGAGCTCACACTACAGTGCCCGTTATTGGATGGCAGAGACTTTAAGAACCCAGAATTTAAGTTAACGGGAAAACCATAAGCAAACTCTGGACTGAAAAGCAGACTTGGGCGATACAGACGCAGGAGAAAGGTAATAAAAGCTTTTGGGATCGGTAACTGACTCAGAGCCAACTTCACAAAAAGTGAAAGAGCAGTTGTACCTGGTCTGTTTTGGCATCTCCGTTTTCTGCAGGGTTATTCCCATCCTTGCCAGCATCAGCTTTCCCCTTTTTCCCTTTGGGTACCTTCTCTCCCTTCTAAAAAGGGGAAGCGAGAAAAAATAGAGTAGTTTCTTCTAATTTTGCATTAGCAGGGTATGGTCTGCAAAATTCTGTATGACACAGGATTGTTTATCAAAGATAACACATACACAAACTATAAACCCTCCCCCATCGATAAAAACGGATCAAAACAAGGCCAAATTATCATTTGCTGTGGTCTTTAGCACACAAGTTTTTATTCCACTGTAAATAATAGAAAAAACAGCGCCTTGAATACTTAGGTTTTAAATGTACAATCTTCTGTAAACTGATGACTACCCTTCCCCTCCTACCCAGGACCTTGTTGTCCAATTATTGTTATCCTGATGATAGAGTTCTTGGTTAGAAAACCAGTACTACAAATGTCAGGGATAAATAAGGCAAGCTATCAAAATAATAGGGATTCTGATCTGTAAACGGGGTCGTCATTGTGCTGAATTAAGACACTGAAGGACAGGCCTCATACTGTGAAAATGACCAATTCCAACATAAGTTTAAGGCCCAGTCCAAGTAACTTTCTCGTATCAAGTCTGTGTCAATGGATGAACCCATTATAGAGCAGAACTGTCAGCAACGTGGGAAACCACACAGCTTTATGCAACTCCTAGAAGCACCCTGGTCTCTCAGTTCCACTCACCTTTGCAGGGGCCTTTTTAGGCTTGGGCTCTGGCTTTGGAGGAGCAGGTTTCTTTTATGTCAGGGAGAGAGGAAGAGAACATTAGTACGAAAACAACCCACTGCCAAACCACAGTACACCACTGGCACAAAAAAAGTTTCTTCTTTTTCGTAAAGCTTCTGGGGTTGGCTTTCCGCTGGAGTTTCCTATCTTCAGGAACCCATTTAAGTAACACACCAAGGTGTCCCACTTTGACTACAGCCACCAGAATTTCAGAACCAGCAAATATCAAACAGGAGAGCCCACAAGAGAGTAGATCATTCAAAAGCAGCCACTAACCATAACCCACGGGAAACAAAGGAAATTTTTAATGCTTTTTAGTTTCAGGAATAAACATAATTTAATAGCAGACACTTACAGCAGATAACCTTGCAGATCTTCTCTGTGGCTATTAAAAGAAAAAAAAAAAGATTAAAAATAGGACAGTTAAAAAAATCAAAAGGTAAGAAATTTTCTCATGAGTCTGGTCTAGACTACTGGAAGTGCAGAAAGCTTAGGGAAATTCGGGACTAGAGGTGTGGTTAATTGCCAGCAAAGGAGTCCCAAAGCTTTTTAAGACTCACCTCATCCTTCACCTTGGCTTTATCTCCTTTAGCATCCCCTTCAGCCTATAAAAGACAAACAAAGCCTAAGAAAGTTGTAGCTTCTAAGGCAATTCTTAAGGACTCACTAAGCGTAACAGTCCTAAGGAAAAAACCGAAGGGGGAAGTCTTGCACACAACTTTTCCATACAAATCTTCCGGTTTTAGCATCCCCAGCACCTATGAAAATGCCCGAAGTGCTCAAAGATCTGACTGCTCCTCTATGCAAGCATCACGCCCGAAATGGCCCAAAGCGCGCAGTAAAGGCGGGCGTCTGAGCCCCAGCCGGCCGGGAGCCTCCGCCAGGCCGCCCGGGGCAGCGCGCGCTAAACCGGAGCGCGGAGGAGCGCGGAGGAGCGCGGAGGAGCGCGGAGGAGCGCGGAGGAGCGCGGAGGAGCGCGGAGGAGCGCGGAGGAGCGCGGAGGAGC